ATACCACATCATAATTGTGCCCCTCGTCCACCGATTCGAAAACTGATGAAAAGAATGTTAATAGATTAGTTAGGCAAGAACGTCGGCAGCGAAGCCATGCTGGGAATCATTGATCAATCGGTGCTACTCGGTGATTTCGAATAGAGTTTGAAATGATTGCTTCCAGTAATTTCCCTACTATTGATGTTAAACTGATTGGGCGGTAGTTAGAGGATAGTGATCTATCCCCCTTCTTGAAAATCGGTATTACATTCGCTATCCTCCAGGATTCTGGTACTACACCTGTTTTTATTGACATGTTAAACAACTTTGCTAAGGGCATACTAAGCTCTTCCTTACATTCCTCTAATACTCTGGCAAATATCTCATCGGGACCAGGTGACTTATTAGGCTTTAGTTTGTCTATTTGCTTACTAACATCGTTACTAGTCACTACTATGTCACATAATTTGTTTCTTCACTATCTCTGAATAAGAGTCGGTGCCTCGAGGAGTATCATGTTTAAATTTTTCGGTGGTGAAAACTGTTGAAAAATATTTATTTAAATTATTGCTTATTTCTCCGTCGTTATCCAGTGAGCTAAGCTGAATTCTGACGTGATGGTCAATCTTTTCTCGTGTTTTTAGTTTTGATACATTTGGTAGAATCCTTTGGGGTTTGTCTTCGCCCTCCCTTGCTATCACTTACCTCATTATTCCTCTTTGCTCCTTATCTCGGTTTTAACTCTACTCGCCAATACCCTATAATAGTCCCGGAGGTGAATTTCGCCACGATTTATCCTTCTACCTATAGCCTTCCTTTGGCCAATGATGTTCTTTAAATAATTATTTATCCATTTAAGGTCATTGTTGTCTGATCTGAGTTTTTTGTATGGTATGTTCTGCCTTTGTGCATTAAGTAACTCACTATTTAAATTATCGTGGAACTCGGCAATCTCAGATCTCGTTATCAGGTCGGTGTCATCTGTCAGGTTCATGGCCAAGCGCGACACCCCCTCTCTCAGCTGCCTCTTTAAACTGTCAAAGTTTGCCCTTCTGAAATCTGGTACTTTAGTGGAATTTTCCTTACGTCTGCCCTGAAAATCTAACTGGAATCGAATTTCTTTGTGATCGCTGTTTGCAAGTTCGTTCCCTACCGACATTGCTAATGAGGGTTTTTCTCTGTTTGACAGAGACTAAATCCAGTATATTATTACCCGATGTGGGTTCGGTTATATATGTTGACTTAGGAAACAGTCCTGGATCGTCTAGAAAATCCTCTGATTCTGGGATACCGTAGAGTAAGTCAATCTATTTGGCCAAGGTTAAAGTCGCCTACTATACAGACTTTGTTGTGTATGGAAGCCCTGCGCATTTCATCCCAGATAAGTCGCTCATTGACGCTATCAAGATTGGGGGGTCTATTTCTTACTCCTGTGATTAATTTTTCCCGACCGTCGCTTAATTCTATCCAAATTGTTTCTGTATTCCTCTCAGTTTTTATTTCCTTATTTATTTCACACTTCAGATTATCCCTAACATAGATTGCTACTCCGCCTCCTTTCCTGGTCTGTCTATCGGTATGGAACAGTTTTGTAACCACAATTTTATTATTCGACTGATACAATTCACGTGTGTCTAGGTTGATCCAGGAGTCTTATCACCACACTGGACAACCCTGAGTTCCCGTAAGACAAGTGTTATGGTAAGGCTTTAGCTAGAATAGACGCTAAGATGTGACTAGTAGCAGAGGTTCATGTGTTTAGGTGGTAACACTGGCTTTAGTCGGGTCCTATCTTATGTATGTCGCTTCACCTGTCTTCCTCACCTGACAACTTCACCTGTCTTCCTCACCTGACAACTTCACCTGTCTTCCTCACCTGACAACTTCACCTGTCTTCCTCACCTGACACATCTTAGGTCTAGTAGTAGGTATTATTTAACATCTTGATGCTCCCCTAACCCCACACACACACCCATCCCCCCACACACACACACCCATCCCCCCCTCACACACACACACACCCATCCCCCCACACACACACCCATCCCCCCCACACACACTTCAAAATCAACAACAAGATCATCAGTAGACAACAGGGTAAGTTTAACGAGTCCAGAGAAGATCTAAACTTTGAAGCGAAGGTTTGCCAGGTCAAGTTTACCTCTGAAAGACGTAGTGACGGTGACCTAACGCTCCTCTGAATCACCTTCGTTAGGGGGAAGTTTGTCAAGGCTAGTTAGGTTAGGTCAGGTTAAGTTAGGTTTTGGTCAGGTTAAGTTAGGTTAGATCAGGTTAGGTTAAGTTAGGTTAAGTTAGGTTAGGTTAAATTAAGTTAAATTAGGTTAAGTTAGGTTAGGTGACACTGTTTATGGGTGGTAGTGAAGCTCATCTCGTAGGAATTTTAATATGAAGACCTTTTGTAACTGCGTCGGCTATCTCTTTGAATGCTAATCCTGACTGACTAACTGACTGACTTGACTGACTAACTTCACTGACTGACTGACTGACTAACTTCACTGACTTCATTGACTGACTGACTGGCTTGACTGACTGACCGAGAGTACATCATGGGTCGTAATGCTCGTAGTGATTGGAGATATTGAGAGAGAGAGAGAGAGAGAGAGAGAGAGAGAGGAAGTAAAAGAAAGAGAAAATTAAATAAAAAAATAAAAAAGAAGGATAAAAGAAAAATAAGGGAGAGAGATATAGAGATAAAATAGAAACATAAAAAAAGGAAAAGAAAGAGTTAGAGAGAGAAATTAAATGAAATCTTTCCCTGGAACATGAAAAATTAATGATAATATAATCTTTCACCTTCTTTTTCTCTCTCTCTCTGTCTCTCTACAATATATCTGTCCAATAGAGAGAACAATAAGTCTCCATTAATCTTTGAAACATCATCAATTTCTCACAGGTTTTAAAGTGATCGCAGAACGAGACAAATTGTACCGACCTTCAGACGATCCAGGAGTCAAGATAAACACTTCGTATATATGTACTGTATATTCAGAGGTCAGGCAGACAATGTTCCTTTTGTAATTTCAATACATTTTTATTTTATTTATTTTCTATCATTATTTGTTTTATTTAAATCAGCGAATCAGTCAGTTAGTTAGTTAGTCTCTCTCTCTCTCTCTCTCTCTCATTACCATACATCCCTCATCCCCTCCACCCCACCCCTACCATAAACACCTCACTTACCCCCACACCCCCACCCCCACCCCCACACCCTCACCCCTCAATGCTCCTCACGTCTCACCCTTCCAGAACAATCTAGTGGAGGGTGAGAGATGGAGTCATTTAGAACGAAGGATCAGAAGCTTTGAGAGGATTCTACCTAAGTTACCCCCAAAACGTCAACATCATTCCTCAAGTTCTTCACCCAAGGAACTTTTTTTTGGGGGGGAGGTATTTGAGAATGGAAAGTTTTAGTTAATACCCGTTATATGTTAGTGACAGAGAGCTTTTAACCTATAACAAGTTCAGTAGGGTTCATTCATCTGATTGTTCATTCATTCATTCATTCATTCATTCAGACAGACAAGAATTCACCTGAGACACCTGAGGATAAAGGGTTATAATATGAATCTATAGGTAAATGAGTGACCGGGAATTCACTACGGGAAGGAACATAGTCTCTCTCTCTCTCTCTCTCTCTCTCTCTCTCTCTCTCTCTTTCTCTCTCTCTGACACCAACCGACGGCCCACAAAACGTCGGAATTTATATGCAAATCACACAGGTCGCTCAACACGGAAACAAGGGGGGAGAGAGAGAGAGAGAGGGGGGGGGGAAGGGAGGGAACACGTACCTCCTGCAGCCCTCCCCTTCCCCCTCCATCTCTACCACTACCCCAGCCTCTATTTCCCCGAACGTATATACACGATTTTTTCATTGATTTTTGAGCACAACACACTTGAACATACACACTTGAAAAAACCCCGACTAAAAACGACTAAAATACCTTAATTGTGTTAAATAAAATACCTGTGTGGAAATTACCCGTTAAAAGAGACACTGTGGTGAATCAGAAGACTAATGAGATATAATTACCATCATTAAAACACAATACTTACAGACCTAATGACCCACAGTAACCAATTAAGATACGAGAGACAGAATATAACGTATATTTTGAATGATATAATTTCTGTTGATTATATTTGGTGATGTATATAATAATTTATTTGTCAGTGGCCCAAGGTTAAAAATGCTTTGAAAACCTTTGATCTAGATGTATGATAGTTATTTAGTGGGTCCCTTATTTTTGACCTGACCTGACTAGTCACGTCACCCCCCTTCTCTTAAGCTCCTCTATGTGTGTGTTGGTGTGGGGATTAGTGGATGACATCATTATGACCTGACCTCATGTTTTAAAGGTCACCCTGTATATTTAAGCCTCTCTCTGTCCATGTAATCCAGTTACCTCTGAAGATGTCTTGAATGAAGACGAAAGCTAAGGTGCTCCGTTGTTTCCCTTTTCCCGTGTGATTTTATCAAGATATATATATATATATATATATATATATATATATATATATATATATATATATATATATATATATATATATATATATATATATATATATATATATATAAATATAGAGAGAGAGAGAGAGAGAGAGAGAGAGAGAGAGAGAGAGAGAGAGAGAGAGAGAGAGAGAGAGATAATAATAATTAATTTATAGTAAATAGAATTTATAATAAAAATACACAATTAAAAATAAAATATAATAATAATGATACAGGTAACAACAACAATAATAATAATAATAATAAAGTACTATAAATAAATAAAAAAATAAAAAATCGCTAGTGAGAAACAATATATGTATGTTGCCCATCCAAAAAGATTTGGCCGAATTTTGCAAAATAAAAACGGTTTGGCCGATTTGGCCATGAGATGGCATGAGTGTTGGTCATGAAGCTTATGGTACATCTGACAACCCTGTTCTCAACCCACTTAGTCTTTTCTTCGTAGTTTGACCGCTTGTCCACCTCCTTCGTCGATTTCTTGTCTTCACTCCCATGCAGACTCTTCGCTCTCATCTGACTCAGATCCTTCACTCTCATCTGATTCAGATCCATCGCTCTCATCTGACTTGTACCATCCATCTACATCATCACTGCTAACACTGCTGTCCAAGAATTCGTATTCTAACATTTCCCCATAAAAATCTTCATCACTCTCAGGTGAGACATCATCTTCACTTTCATCCGTGTCATCTAACTCCTTTACCTTTTCATGCTCAGGCGAATCCATCAGCCCTGTTCCATCTAGACAAGGTCGCTTCTCCGCCTCTTCGCCTTCATCTGAGAGGTCTTCAGACCACTTCCTCTTGAGGGAGCCAGACAGAGTATCAGTCATTTTGAACCTTTTTACCAAAATGTGTCTGGGGTCAGTAGGTATACAACTTCAAATTTGACCAGTTTTTATGAAAAGGTGTTACATTATACAGTACTATGGTTGGAACTTTGTCAATAGAAAACTTCTGTAGTGGAGGCAATAGTGGGGATGTGAAGTGATGATACATAAGAACCTAAGAAAATAAGGAGTCTGCAATAGGCCGGTTGGCCTGTGCATGGCAGCTCCTGTCGAGTTACTACCACTCCTCTATCATCCATGAATCTATCTAGCCTCGCTTTTGAAACTTTCCAGCGTTCCCCGCACTTACTACAAAGTTGCTAAGCTTGTTCACTCGTCCACCACCCTATTTGTGAACCAGTTTCTTCCCTATCTCCTCTAAACCCTAAACTTATCAACTTGAATCCGTTGCTCGAGTCTATCTGCTCGGATATTATAAGAACTTTATCGATATCCTTTATTGATTCCTTTTCACCCTTAAATACTTCTATCATATCTCCCCCGCACTCTTCGTCTTTCTAGGGAATGCAAGTTAAAAAAGTTTCTTTTAACCTATCCTGATATGGAAGGTTTCTAAGTCCCGGAATCATTTTTGTCATTCTTCTTCGCTGCTGCGACTCAAGAGTGAATTTATATCCATTCTATAATAGGGGCACCAGAACTGAACCGCATAATCGAGGTGCGGCCTGACTAGCGCAAGATATAGTTGCAATAACACCTCTGCACTCTTGTTACTTACACTTCTAGATATAAAACCCCAATACTCTGTTTGCCTTATTTCGAACATTAACGCACTGTTTTCTAGGCCGTAGGTCCGGGCTTACAAGTACCCCTAGGTCTCTTTCACAAGTCGACGTCTCTAGATTGATGTTGTTAGGGCTGTATACATTATAAGTATTTGTTCTTCCAATATTAAGTACGCTGCACTTGCTGGTGTTGAATTTCATTTGCCATTTTTCAGACCACCCCTGCAGTTTATTTAGATCACTCCTGTAATGCATTTGCATCCTGCCCTGAATGGTGCCCGCCCTATTTTGGTGTCATCCGCAAACTTATGTCACTACTGATCCCCGATATCTAAATCGTTTATGTAGATTATGAACAAGAGTGGGCTAGTACTGACCCCTGGGGAACACTGGTTAAACAGCCCCCACTCAGATTCTTTCCTATCTACGTAGCCCTCTGCGCTCTATCGGTGAGCCATGATTGTATCAATTTAAAACTTTCCCTCGATACCATTAGCCCTAATTTTTCTCCAGACGCCTCTGATGCGGTACTCTGTCAAATGCTTTGCTAAAGTCTAAGTAAATAACATCGTAATTTTTCGTCATTATCTACTACCTCGAACTTTCCTAAAAAAACGTTAGCGAATTTGTTAGACAAAGATTTTCCTTTGTAGAAGCCCATGTTGAGAGTCGTAGATTAATTTGCTTTTCTCTAGATGCGATCGGATGCTATCTGCTATAATTGATTCAAGAAATTTCCCCACTACTGACGTCAAACTGATCGGCCGATAATTTGACGCTGATGCTCTGTCTCCCTTTTTAAATATGGGTACTACATTCGCCTGTTTCCACAACTCTGGCACAACTCCAGTGTCTAATGATTTTGTAAATAAATTTACGAGGGGTCCGCTAATCTGTTCCCTACACTCTTTTAAGACTCGAGGAAAAATTTCATCCGGCCCTGGGGATTTTGTATTCTTTAGTTTATTTATCTTCTTAAGAACATCCTCTTTTCTGATGGTGATATTCTTTAATTTCTCTTCTTCCTTTCCCTTAAATATCAGTTCCACCTCCGGAATTTCATCGCAAATTTCTTCTGTGAAAACTGATAAGTAGCTGTTCAATGCTTTGCTCATGTCTTCACTGCCATTTATCAATTCTCCCCTCCCTGACTTTAAAGGCCCAACTTTGTCCTTGACCTTTGTCCTATATACCTGGAAAAATCCCTTGGGATTCGCCTTGGATTCTCTTGCTATTTTGATTTCATAGTCTCTTTGCTTTCCTTACATTTTTCTTAACATTCCTAGATAGTTCATTATACCTGTTTCTGAGCTGCTCCTCCCCACCCTTTAATTTCTTATATATTCCTTTCTTTATTCCTATGTCATGTTTAAGTTTTCTGGTCATCCACCTTGGCTCATTCTTATTTGACCTAATTTTTCTGTATGGTATATTTTGTTCTTGTGCTTTATGTAGTATACTAGTGAATATATTATAGTCATGATCAATTGTTGTGTCATCTATGACCTCACCCCTTCCTACTGGGAACTGACGTGACTGTTCCCAGGTGACCTCACCTAGGTACCTTCTTAACCCCTGATAGTCCGCCAACCGAAAGTTTGGGACTCTGACCATATTGTCATCGTTTTTCGTTTCCCAATTTAGGGTGAACCTGATTTCTCTGTGATCACTGTTACCAAGTTCTTCCCCGACTGTGATATCTCTGATAATATTTTCTTTATTTATTAATACTAGGTCTAATATATTGTCACCTCTAGTAGGTTCTGTAATTAGTTGTTTCAAAAAATTGTCCTATACTGCGTCTAGGAAGTCTTCAGATTCATAGTCGCCTACAATGTTGTCCCAGTCAATATTTCTGAAGTTGTAATCCCCCATAATGCATAGGTTGTTATATATTGCTGCCCTACTCATTTCCTGCGATATGGGCTGAGCTGCTTCTTTGCCAAGACTTGGGGGTCCTGTAAATCACTCCCATAATTAGTTTTTCTCTTCCTTCCGTGATTTCTACCCACACAGACTCGGTTCCTATTTCACCCTTTATTGAATTATTAGTACAACATTTTAATGTATCCTTGACGAAGAGTGCGACCCCTCCCACCTTCCTACCTTCCCTGTCCTTGTGAAAAAGGTTGTACCCTTCTATGTGGTACTCTGATAAAAAATTTTGCTCGCCAGATTCATCCAAGTTTCGGTGATTGCTATGACGTCTACATTCTCGGTACATACAACCGCTCTCAGGAAGTCTATTTTATTTCTAACGCTCCTACTGTTTGTATAGTATACATTTAAACCTACTCTTCCCTGGTCCTGTTTTACCCCTTGTCCTGAGCAACTAATTTTACTTCCCAGGACCTGCTTGTTTTTTGACTCCCACTTTCCCCGACCCCTCTCTACTGGCGAAACCCTCCCTTCTGAGTGACAATTTCACCCTCCAGGGATGCAGACAACGTCTTTACTCCCTCACGAGACAAGTGTACTCCGTCGCGACAGTACAGGTAGTCGTTGCCATAGAATCGTTGCCAGTTATCAATGAATGCCCAACCATTGTTTGCACAATGTTTTTCCAGTCGGCAATTTATAGCAATTGCCCTAGACAGCCATTCACGACCAACCCCTCTTCTAGGCAAGACACCATATACTATCGGGATCCCTCCCCTATCTCTAATCTTCCCCAGCGCCTCTCTATACCTCTTGAAAAGTTCCTCACTCCTAACCTTACCTATGTCGTTTCCTCCCACACTAAGACACACTACTGGATTGGTACCCTCCCCTGACAAAACCCTGTCTAACCTCTCGGCTACATGCCCTATCCCAGCCCCAGGAAAACACACCCTAGTCCTACGTTTCCTATCTCTCGCACAAAAAACCCTATCCATAAGCCTCACCTGGCTGTCACCAACTACCACGACCTTACCTGTGGGCAGGGTTTGTACAACTGCCCTTTCCTCTCCTTGATCCATACCGTCCTGCCTCTTCTCTTCCTCGCCAGCTTCCTGCAGCACCTGGTAAGGTTTACTACACTCCACACCCTGGTCAGCTTTCCTGAGCCTGACCCTAGTCCCCTTGGAGACAACCACTCTCCACGCCTGCTCCTCCTTCGCAGGTGTCCTGCTAGGCAGGACACCTACCTGAAGGAGTTCCGTCCTGAGGGCTTCATTTTCCCCTTTAGAGTGTCAACCTCACTCCTCAACTGCCCCAGCTGCCTTAACAGAGTGGCAAGGAGGTCGTCTTTCCCCACACTCCCCTCCTCTTCCCCCAAGACACAACGATCCACGGCGGCCATTTTCCTTGGTCTCTAACGGGAGCACTATCGGGCACGACCTTCTCCAAGCTGGGTCAGAGGGATGTGAGAGATGATGTGTGGAATGAGTGGGGATGTGGGATGTGAAGTGATGATAGTGGGGATGTGGGAGATGATGTGTAGATAGTGGGGATGTGGGAGATGATGTGTAGATAGTGGGGATGTGGGAGATGATGTGTAGATAGTGGGGATGTGGGAGATGATGTGTAGATAGTGGGGATGTGGGAGATGATGTGTAGATAGTGGGGATGTGGGATGTGAAGTGTGGATAGTGGGGTTGTGGGATGTGAAGTGTGGATAGTGGGGATGTGGGATGTGAAGTGTGGATAGTGGGGATGTGGGATGTGAAGTGATGATAGTGGGGATGTGAAGTGATGTGTACATAGTGGGGATGTGGGAGATGATGTGTAGATGGTGGGGATGTGGGATG